GTTTTCTTAAATGCAGAGGTGTACTTTTACTTACTTGTAAAATTAATTATGCTCTCTTATTTGGAACTCTTCCAACTTAGAGCACTACCATTTAGAGTAAAACATATATCGATAAGAATATAATAGGCCATTTAAAGATTTTTAAGCGCCTAGAGATTTAGGAAGACAATCATTCTTGACTTCTAATATTTTATATTAAAAGACATGAGAATAAAAAAAAAATCCATGTGACCTAACATGGGGCCTAAGAAGATTATCATCTTTACATGTATTGGGTTTGGAATGATTCCAAACCTAAAAATGAAGGATATGATACCTTACCATACCTATATGCATATAAGCTCGACATATAGCTAAACTCATCGTAGATGAGTCTTGCATCTTACTAGACCTATATATTTCTAGGCTTAATACATAATTAAACCAAATGTAGTTGAGTTTGATGTCTTGCTAAATTCATATGCCCTTGGATTCAATATAAAGTTAAATCCAGGATATTTAAGTCTGGCACCTTGACAGATCCATATGTACTTGAGCTCAATACGTCATTGACCCAAGGATGTTTGAGTTTGGTGCCTTACACCTATATATATTTGGACTTATCATATAACTGAATCTAAAGATAAAATGCTAGACCTACATGTATTTAAACCCAACATATAGCTAAACTTAAAAATATTGAAACTAAAAATAATATCAAGCCCATGTTACCTAGGTTTGATGTCCGGCCAAACCTAACTACATTGATTTATTACCTATTTTGGAGCCTTTTAATCATAAACTTTTAAGCAATCATATATTGATAGGTATATCTGTCAACAATTAATAACCTGATTACTCTACTTCTGTATGCAGGTACTGCTTCATTGCATCTGTTTTCGTGTTAATTTATTCTGCTTTACAACTCTTCAAAGTTGTTTGTGACAGCAAAGACAAAGAGGCATCCTCATCCCAGACATGTACCCGGACTACATGAGCTTCATCCTTGATATAGTGCAGTTTCGGAGAAGCTTAAAACAACACTTGTAGTTCCTCTCTCAATGTTTTCTTCCTTCTCTCTATCCGGAAAATATATTTCCTCGATGGCTAATATTTTTGTAAGCATTTAAAGGTGGCAGGCTATCTTCTGATTTCTTCTAGTTGGGTAGCAATATTGGCCATCCAACAGATTGATAAAACTGCATCTATCTGGAAGGCGGTCATGATTTCCACGACCGTGTCGATTGTGACTTTCCTTGGCATTGTGATATGCACTCTGTTATCAGCTTCAAGCAATGTAAGAGAGTCATCTGGTGACGCAGCTCGTGCCTGCTTAAAATCCTAGCATTCTTTCTTAATCACAACAAATCATCTCCGATTTGCATGTAGAAAAGGAATTCCCTTTACCGGCATGCCTGGTGTAATATCATCTCTGCTGCTTCTTCAATCGTATGAAATACGATCATTTTCCTTCCTTTTTTTTCTTCCAGGTTAAACATGATTGGGTGTTAGGTTGTGTAGGTTGTTACTACTAGTCTAATGCCCGGTAAATGAGTTGCTTTTGAGCTGTTTTATTTGAAGGTCATAATCATAGGCTTCATATGTGGTAACTATTGCTTTAAGCTCTAGAAACAGAATATCTCATATTGAGCTTTAAATTCAACATAATCTAGCTGCAACAAGCTGCTTAAGAAAACAGTAGGGATTGACTATGCCCTAAAATATACCCGTTATCTTGATGGAAACAAGTAAAACCAAAAGATATAATGAGTAACCTATCCATCACCTTAAGGTCTCCGCATGTTTCTCCGCTTTTCAGTGACATCAAGCTTGCCCTCTGTAAACTCGCATCAGGAATAGAGACGCCAAGCAGCTTCTGCAGTTTCTTCACAACAAACACTTCTGGCTCATCGGACAGTCCTGCCAGCTCGATGTGCATAATGAATCCGTAGGCAAGTCAAGATTGACAACAAGATCACACTCTGGAACATCCAAACCCCTTGCTGCAAGTTCATTCGTTACAAGGACTCTCACCTGCCCACTTTCAAATTTCTTTAGAATTGTTGACCTACCAAGCTTGCCAAGATCCCCATGAAGCCCTGCAGAATTCATCCCACGAGCCTCTAGTTTGAAGACAGCATCTTTTAGTTGCCTTGTATGGTTCATGAAGGCTATCACAGACTGCGCCTCCAGTGCATGAACACATCTTCTCAAAGTATCAACCTTATGCTTCAACCATGTGATGTTTCAATGCTGGAGGGAGGCTCTGTACCGTTGCCTGAGGCTGCAAATTTGAGTCTGAGCTTAAATTATAAGTACGCCTGGACAGATAATCAGTTCCATGAGCAAGAGACTCAAGTGGAAAGACACTTTTTTCCTGGACAAGAAGGGGGTCACATGCTCAGTTCCTAGCAGCCCTGACGACGGAAAACGGCACTGTTGCTGATACCATGATAGTCTGACGATCAGCCCGTCTCGCAAGCGGACTTTTTGTCCTCGAGGGTCTGCACCTGATCTACTCCCTACATGTTCCAATATCCAGTGCATGTCCTCCTGGAAGTGAAATGAAAGAAGCTCATCAATTTCATCTAACCAACTAACGACAACCATGGGTATGAAGTTTGCCAGCTGCACTAATCTTTGCAATCCTGCCGGGTGTAACCACAACAATCAATGGCTGGTAGGTTCTTTCGTAAGTTCTCTCTCAATCTCTCTCACTATTTGCATACCTAGCTCTCTAGACGAAGCCACAATCACTGCCTCTATCTCTGTTTTTTTCCGAGCTTCTTTATCGCCACTCGAAGATCTACTCTTCAGAGTTCCAACTTCAGACAGTATAGGACAAGACATTTTTGTATTTTCACTTTTTTACAATAGTATAATTATTTTGATGTTTTTAAAGATAAAAATAATTAAACTCACCTAAAGGTTTTTCTATTATTTTACTTTGTTTTTGTAGTAATTTTTAAGGATATTCAGGGGTATTGTTGTAAATTACATATATTATATATAATTATTTAAAAAACAGCTGATGTGTGCTATATAAACGGCCTTATGACGTTCAGGCAATGCGTAAAAGTCCTTCTAGATACTGCACGCTGCCTTCCAAGGTGGTCGTTGGAAAATCTCAATGCCCTTTACGTGGGGTTATGACGTGTCTTTCGAGATTTATGGTGTTTGTAGCCAACAATTTTCTTTTTTTTTTTCTTTTACTCTCTCTCCTCCCCAAGTTTTGCATCACTCCCTACAAAATTTTAAAGCAACCTCTTCAATTTCTTCTCTCTTAATATTTCATCATTATATTTTTTAATTTTAGAATAAACTATAAAATTTTAGATGTTTTTCAATTCACCCTACTATTTTTAATATATAAATAATTTATCAAATTATAAATATTTTTTAATTTCACTCCCCTAACAATTTTAAATATATAAATAATCTATTAAATTAAAAATATTTTTTTAATTTCACCCATATAATTTTCTTAATCTATCATTTTTTATCTTTAAAATTTGATTTTCATTCATTTAATTGTATTTTATTTTATTAAAAAAATTTTAAATTGCATACTCCTTATTTTTCTATTAAATCTTATCCTTATTATTTTAATTACTTTTACAGTTTTTTAAATATGTTTTTACTTATCTCATTCTTTGAAATTAAAATAATTGAAAATTAAGTTTTTTAATTGAATCTAAGTCAATGATTTTACTAGTTGTGATTTTTATATATTTGACCAAATTTAAAAGGTTCATCGAGTTTACTTTTTTTTTTAAATTGATATTTTCTGCTTTTTTGCTCTTTTCAAGGTTTTTTTTTGTTATCTTTTATGGTTTAATTATATTGGGCTAGCCCTCAATAATTTCTTTATATTTCATTTCCTATCATTTTTAATCTATAAATAATTTATTAAATAAAAAATATTTTTAATTTTATCTCTTATGATTTTTTTATCTTTTAAATTTGATCCTTATTGTTATAATTGCAACTTATTTTGTTTGGGGTTGTTTTTAATATTTTTTTAAATAATCTTCTTGGGTTTCTTTTAAAATTTTATCCCTATTTTTTTTTTCTTTTGCAAGTTTTTCTTATTAATATTTTCTTAACGATTTTATCCTCTAAAATTAAATTTATTGAGAGTTAAGTTTTTTGATTGAAACCAAGATTAAAATTTTGCAAGTTGCAAGTTTTAGAAATTAGACCAAGTTTAAGAGATTTGTCCGAGATTGCCCCCTCCTTTTTTTTCTTATTTTCTTAGGTTTGATTCTATTGGATTAGCCCTCTACAATTGTTTTTCAATTTCAACCCAATTATTTTTTAATCTATAAACAATCTACCAAATTATATTTTCTTTTCAATTTCACACCCTATAACTTTTTAATATTTCAAATTTGGTAGTAATTTTTTTAATTGTTATTTATCTTGTTTGAGATTTTTTTAAAAAAAAAAATTTCATCTTCCTTGGGTGTTTTTTCTCAAATTTTATCACCATTTTTTTTGTTTTTTGCTTTTGCAAGTTTTTTTATTAATATTTTTTCAATAATCTTATCCTTCAAAATTAAATTGACTGATAATTAAATTTTTTTATTGAACTCGAGTCAAGAATCTAACAAGTTGCAAGTTTTTAAAATTAGACTAAATTTAGGAGGTTCACTAAGTTTTCTCTATTTCCCTCACTTTTTTTAAGTTGAAGTTTTTTGTTTTTTTTTTAAGTTTTATTTGTTTTATTTTCTTGCGGTTTTCTTTCTATTAGATTTGTATTGGATTGTTTGATACTCCAAATAGACTCAAATATTATTTTTTTTTGTTAGTTTTTGTTTTATATATTATGCATGAAGGGCGAAAGATAAATATCAACAGGCATACAAATGCTGAAAGGGAATGCATGTCGTAAAATCATATTAAGGAATGACATGGACAGGATGTCAATTGCAAGTCCTGGAACTTACTTGAGTGAAATTGTTACCTCACAGAGGATATGATAAAAGGGAAAAGGAAAAAATTAGGAACGAAAAAATATATCACAAAGCATGAAACTATACAAAACAAAGGAGGTAAAGCATCCAAAATGGCAGAGTGAAAGCCAAGGTCAAAGTCATGTTGATGTTATAAAAGTGAAGAAAAGAAGAAGAAGAAGAAGCAACCTCCAAAACAGATGGCGGAGCTGAAATGGAGGCAAAGAATAGCAAACCTTGTCAACGGTTGGAGAAAAGATGCATGAGCGGTCCTAAACCAGGATGCGCAACCGGGAGAGCATATAAAATGGCTAAACAAACATCACGAAAGGCAACAACGTAGAAAGCCATACAAAGTTAAAAAGGAAAGATATGAAATCTTGGACAGAGCAAGCATAGAGCGAAGATAGCTTAATGTGGGATCGAAAAACAAAGGGAAAAGAGAGCGATCAAACGAAAGCGACGTACAGAAGAGGGAACCTCACCAGCTATTAGAAAAAAGGGCATGCAAAGTTGCGAGAGATTTCCTAAAACAGTAAGCACAACTGAGGGCGAACATCATCAAAAAGAAAACTAATAGGTAAGAGCCTAAAGGCATGAACAACGAAGCAGCAAAACATGCAAACCAAAAGCCGTGAGCAAAGTCAGCTTGATGCCGCAGAAAACAAAAGGGAAAGTAATCTGCAAAATAGGAAGTGCAACTGAAACCGAGGTAAAGAAGAACAAACCTCTTCAACCACAAAGGTGCAAGAGCTGGCACAAACCATAAAGCACAGCCAAGAGAGGATATGACGGTAGAGAAACAAAAGGCTTAGCAATTAAAAAAACAATTCATGAATGTGTTAGCAAGCATTGTATTTCAAGTAAGCATCAAATATAGAATTTGTTAGCAGAGAAAATGACAGCAATTCATGCATTCCATAGTGGTGAATGATGATGCAATGAATCTTTTTCCCAGTTGTATGGCACAATTATTGCCCCAACAAACTTCAATGCTCAGGGTAGAGATCTCTTGTAGTGGCTTGAATTCACCAAGCTTGTAGGAATCACACCATAGATGGAAGCGGCTCAAAGTGGTGGCAAGACCACCCGTTTGAAGATCCTATAGACAATGAATCGCAATTAATTATTCCACTAAACAACAGAGTACAACAACAACCACCGATATCGATAATAACTTCAATTTGTACCTTCCACTACAATTATTATCTGCAGTAACTATCTAAATCTGATAATGTCTCCTTTCTAAATTGTGTTGTAGATAAGAAGGGAGCTGAGCGGGAAAATGCCAAGCATCAAACCCACACTAAGTAAGTACTTCAAGAAAACTATAAAGATTTCTATCGCAGTTCATAAGCATGCACTTTATAACATGATTGACATGCTTTCTTTTTGCGGGTGCTCAGATTTTATGGAAGTTTCAATGCGACAATCACAGGCATAACAATTCAAAACAGCCCACAATGCTCCTCCTCTCCCGAAGACAGTCCAAAACACAGATGGAATCCACCTAAAGAACTCTAAAGGTGTGTTAATTCATAGCACTGATCTTGCTTGCGGTAATTTCGTTGATTGGAAAATATCCTATTTAATTAGACAACGTAGGCTGCAGGGTGAGCTTGACAAGCAAACATAGGAGCCGAAGGGTCAAATAGTTAGAGGTTCAGGCACTACAGAAATCATTTTTTAACACCTCATGTTGCTGTTGAAAAGAACACCACATAATTTAGATTCATGGCATAGGATTCTCATACAGACATTGAGCAGCCACAATTTATTTGACACATGGCAACCTCCAGCCACCACACTTAGAGTAGCTGGGCTGCTACCTGACAGATATCATAACCTCCATCATTATCAGTCCCCGTATAAGATTAGTTTTGCGAACAAATTCCCCCATTTATTTTCGTTTGCCATGAAAAAAGCACAGAATTCATTACGGGTCCATATTCAAAACCCAAAAAAATAAATAAAAGATCCAGCAATCAAACTCATCCTTTCTATAGCTTTCCCAGATTCGCCTTCTTTTCTTCTTCAAATTTGGCCTGGATATCAACCTTTTGTATAAAACAAACATCACAGCAGCAGCAGCAACATTTACCAAGCATCTCAACAGTTTTAGATTATTTAATTTCAAAGTTAAATGAGTAATTTTACTGTATATTAAAAAATAAAATTTCCAAACTGATCATGTACAGTTAGTAAAAAAAAAAAACTATATTACTTTCAATATGTTGAAGTTTTAAGGATCAAATATCAATATTGTAATGATGTAATATATATGTCTATTAGGGCAGAGTAACTTTCCTTACATTTGTAGTTTTTTTTTTTTTAATAAAATTACTCCACTAATATCCTTTCTTGTATGCTTGAGAGCTTTCAAAAGCAAACATTAGTATATTTGCCCGCGGAAGACTGTGATTTGAATTATTATTTTTTAAATAAAAAATATAAATAGAATAAAGAATTTTTTAATTTAACAATATCATAAAATCCAATTAAGTAGTTTAATTTAAAACCTGCCAATTTAACTCCTTGTCTAACTCAAATTTTAAATTAAACTACATGAAAACTGATTTAGAGTGAATCATTTAATTTAATAAATTAAAAAATAATTTGAATAACTGTTAAAAATATGACATAACTTTAAAAAAAATTAAAATAATATTTTTTTAATATTGAGACAATATCAAATTAAATCGATGTCGATCACCCTGCGACTTGGGTCATAGACTTTAATAGGTTTAATAACTTTATTGTTTTTAAAATTATTTTTATTTCATTTTATGATAAAATTAGATGTTTGCAAAATTGAGCATCAACCCTAAAAAATATTTATTTGAGATCATGATAATACTATATAAAGTAGAAAAAAATAAACCATAAATTCAATTTCCTAACTAATCCAATACTAAAGAAGAATGAAATAAAAAAAATAGAAAAAAAGACCAAAAAACTAAAAAACAAATATATTAGGTTTGGTGTGTAAACTAACTAAGCTTATGAATCGAGTAACCTAAGTCAATACATTAAACCCACAAACTATGTAATAGATTCCATTGAAATTAGTAACTTATTTTACTAAATTATTTTCTATTTAACTATATGATAATAAAAATAAATGATTGTAAAATTAAGTGTCAAATCAATACCGAGACTTTTTTTTAAGAATATTATAACCTTATAGAAAGCAAAATGAAACAAATTATGAAACTCAATTGTCAATCAGCCTATTATTGAATGATATAATTTTTTAAAAAAGTTAAACTTGCTAAACCCATCAACAGGCCTATGAATTTTCTAAAATTTCATAACATATTTTTTAAAATTATTTTTTAATTATATGATAAAAAAATAAATAAACATATAATCTAATTCAATTAGTAAAAAGAAAAACCATCAATAAACTCATGAACTAAGATAGCAAGGATTACCTTGCTAAACTAACAAATCGGGTTATTGACTCTACAAAGTTAATAACCTTGTTTTTCTAATAACTTTTTTATTTAAATGAAGTTTTTAAAATATAGACCATATTGTAATGCTATGATATTTTTCTAATACTAATTTGATGTTGAGATATTTTTTGATACCGCGATAATCATATAAAACATAAATTAAAATAAATTATCAACTTTAAATCTTTTTAAATTAAAAAATGGTCAAATGAAAAAATATATGGATTACTATTTTAATCTATATTTAATAATTAATTATAATATTTAATAATTAATTATCAAGATTGTAAGACAATAAAAAAAAATCATAGTTATTAAGGAAATGTTGGAAATGTGGTGATTTTTTTATAAAATTTATAATTTTTATTTTTATGTGATATAATTTATAATTTAAAAAAATCAATTTTTTTTAAAAACGAACCAAACTTCCCAGCAAACACATTCTAAACAGGCTTTGTGGACATGAAAAGCAGGCTTTGTGGACATGAAAGGACACCACTTCCTTGATAACCGAGCCTTTGTGATGGAGAAACATGGGCTGGTATTGGGTTGGTCCATTATTAATAATATCCTACCACGATTCTTTCCAAACCCAACAAGTAAATAAAATTTGTGGGTTAAAAACGATGACGTGTTGCTACTAAGAGAAACTTCTGGAAATGACCTAAAAAGAAGCCACCACGCACAACCTTCTGGCGCCTTCCTATCCGCTCCAATCCATGTAATTATCTAATCTATGTGTGTACGTGGGGACCCTTACCCTCTTTTGCCCTTTTAATTCCCTTTCCTTCTCGAACCCACGATTTCTCTTTCCTCTCCTTATCATTTACTCCACCCAGAAACTTCTAGAAACAACAAAAACCTAACCCCATCCTCTCTCTCTCTCTCTCTCGCAATCTCAAATTCTAACGTCAATCTTCGCTACCTCTTATCGGTCGGCGGTTCTTCCTTCCATGCCGTTTAATTAAGCCCTAGCTAGGCTACCGTCGAGTTTGATAAACGTCGCTTCGTGTATTTTCTGTTTGTTTGGTGAGAGAATTTCACCACCTCTGGAATATATAAGGAAAGATGAATCTGACATTTTTTTTACTTTCTTCGGGTATGAATGACAAGATTCTTACTGATTTAGTTCCGTGTTCTAGCACTTCTATATCGTTACCGGATACACAAGGAGAAACTGCAGGATATTTTGATATCTTTAAAATTTAAACATCTTTTTTGTTGTTTCAGTTTTCATTGTTAAGGATGAGGAGTAACTCATGTTATTATAGTTTTTAGCAGTTAAATTTAGCTTCGTCAAATTTTATAACAATTGATTTCCTCTCTTTTCTTTATTGGTGTTACTATCCTACACTTTCTAGAAAAACCAAACAGAAGATCGATACTGTTATTCTCTTTTCTGTATGTATCTTTCTTCCTTTTTCTGAAATATATTTCCTTTGCTTCCAGTCTTTTATTAGGGTTCGGGATCTAATATCGAACCTTCTATGCCGCCATTGCCTGTGGAGCAAACCGGCGAATCACCCGCCGCATGTGGCGGCGGAGCAGCAGCTGGCGGACCAACATCAGGATCAGGTGATTCACAAAGATCTCTCCCAACTCCATTTTTAACCAAGACCTATCAGTTGGTCGATGACCCGTCGGTTGATGACTTGATTTCATGGAACGACGATGGATCAACCTTCATAGTGTGGCGTCCTGCGGAGTTCGCTAGAGACTTGTTGCCTAAATATTTCAAGCACAACAACTTCTCTAGCTTCGTTCGCCAACTCAACACATACGTAAGCATTTAATTTTACTTGAATTAAATCATCATGTCGTCCTGTCTTGTTTGTTTAATTCTGCTTAAAAGTTTCAGTTATTATGTTTATGCTATTTTTTATAGGGATTTAGAAAGGTGGTACCCGATCGATGGGAATTCGCGAATGACTGTTTCCGGCGAGGCGAGAAAGCACTTCTCCGCGATATTCAGCGCAGGAAAATATCTCCGATGGCGGCATCAGCTGTAACGCCCGCCTCCGTTACGGTCGCCGCCATCCCCACGGTGGCGAGAGCGGTTTCTCCTGCAAACTCTGGTGATGACCAGGGAATATCGTCCACGTCGTCTCCTGGCGGGGCAGGGACGGCGGGAGGAGCAAACTCGTTTCTCCGGACGACGAGCTGCACGACGACGCCGGAGATTCTGGAGGAGAACGAGAGGTTGAGGAAGGAGAACTCGGCGCTGAGCCACGAGTTGACTCAGTTGAGAGGTCTGTGTAATAATATAATGGTATTGATGAATAATTACGCGTCCCCTCAGTTAGAGGGTAATAGCAATAATAATTTGGCGGACGTCAAGGCCGCTTTGGAATTGTTGCCGGTGGCGGATGAAGTGGCGGTTAGTGGTAGACCCAGAGACGGAGCGGCTGCTACGGAGTCGGAGGTGAGCCCGAGACTGTTTGGGGTTTCTATTGGATTCAAGCGCGTGAGGATAGACGAGGAGGATGAGGAGGAGGGTAATCGGCAACAAACGGAAGGGAAAGAGCACGGATCTGACGTTAAAGCGGAGCCGCTGGATGGTAGTACAGGGAATTCAGATCACCAAGATCAACGGTGGTTAGATCTTGGGAAATGATAATAATGATGGTTGAGGGCTGATGGTCTGATCAGAGTGGAGCACGATGGGCACCACAGGAATTGGATCAGGAGATGGGTAGAGGACACGTGTCTTAAAAGATGGGTCGCTTCTGGAAGGTGCATCTGTCTTTACGGAAAGGGAAAAGTCACCATCTTTTGGTTTGTTGGGAACTGAAGAGTCGGTTTTTTAGGATGCGATGATGGTGCTGGGAGCATCAAAAGAAGTGGTTGGAGTGCCAAAACGGCGCCTCATGGAAACGAGATGGATAGATTCTCCAGAGCACGGTGACTGGTTGCTGCTGGAGAGGATCTGTCCCGTGGTAAACAATGATTACCAAAGCTTAGAGTAAGTTCTCGATTTAGTGGCTCCAGATTTAGATGTGTAATTAGAGCAGGTTTTAGAAGCTAGTCTTTAGTTTGTTTTGTTTCTTCTGTGTTGTGTTGGATGATTTTGTACTTGCTGCTGATGCAAGTTATACATGGTAGATGTGCTTCTGACTTCCGACTTCAATGGTTGGTTGCTTCGCATGTCTTCTTGTAATATTCTACCGGCCATCTGTACTCAATTGTGTATTATTATTATTACTACTTTGCCTCTGAATTATTGAATTTAGGCTCTGAAGATCTCTTCTGGTAGAGAAGCTATTGGTCAGCTGTTAAACTGTAATGGACTCCAGAGTATAGACATGCTTCTAGAAGATAACTTCTGTTGCCACTTGCGATTGCTGTTAGCGTGAAGATCTCGGATCACGTGTTACTTTGCTCACTCTGTGGAAGCTTCTTTTTTCTTCCTTTTTTTAATGAATGAAAGCATCTAATTAAACAAACGGAACTCAAGTAGGGCTGATTGTCTTCCAAACTATCTGGGAAAAAACCTAATTTAGTAGACCTCAGGGCCACCGAGCTGGGTTGATTGTTTTAACTATGGTATCATGAAAGCCTTGCTTAACACTGCCAAATTCAAATGAGTGTTGTCTTAATCCTTTTTTCCCTTCACAAAAGACAGATAGCCCCTCATTAATAACAACTCATAAACTAGGAGATGCTTAATGCATGCCTGTAACCAGCTAGGAAAAGACCTTGGAAAACTCATAGCAAGAAGTACATTGAATAGAAATTTCCAATTCACGAAGTCAAAGGCGTTCTTCAATTCAATCTTCAGAGTAC